TAGATCAAACCTTACTTTTCAACATTATAAATAGCAGAATAAGCTTATAAGAGCTTGTATATTAATTTTTTGCATTTACTCATAATCTTAATTTTCATTGCTATATTAAAGATAATTTGGGTAACATAAATATTTTTCATATAACACCTAAATACAAAGGATTTTTGTTTTGAAACGAGCAACCAATTGAGTTACTGGAGTTACTGTGGAAGAACTAAATTTGAGTATTTTATCTTTTGAATAAAACAGTCCAGAGTTCCGAAGTATTTTTGGAGGATAAACAATTTGTTCCTATAAAAAGTTATGCTTTAAAAAGAATTATGTATTCCCAGATGTTGAGATGCAGCTGAGAATGTTGATAAAAGTGTATCATTACCTACAAAATGAATACCTTCCTTAGAATACATTGTTTTAAAGTATGTATTAACTTTTTCAGGACACTAGTACACTGTTTGGCCAATATACTTTAAAGGTATAACTCGGTTACCTGTATAAGATAGTACAGTCTCCAAAAAAATATCACCTTTGCTCTGCACTTACCTACTCACCAGGAAAACCAAACTTTGTAGACTCTTGTAATACTGAACAAGAACTAAAGATGCTAAATAAGAATTTTCCTCTACTTTTATTAATCTTGCCTGTATAATGGAATTGCACACTTTCTCCTCTTGTAAGTGAGGGCATACATAAAATTATAGACATTTCCATCATGAATATTCAGAGAGCACTCACCATCCTATTCCTGGCTTCATTCAGCATGGCAAAAAAGAAAGGGATGCACACTTTAATATTTGAAAGGTTACTTACACATGAATATGAAAATAAGATATGACATGACAAGGTTTTTCATATGACCCTCTGTGGAACTGAATTTAGGAAAATGAATGTTTTCCTCTGCTTTGGCACAAACTTCTTTAAGCTAAAGATCTCATACCAACCAAGACTTTTATAACCCATTAGATCTTTAAAGTTCTATTAAATTCTGTTTTAGTTTTCTGCCAGACATACGCTTATTATTTTTAATTCCTGTTTTTCTAGGCACATTAAGCCAAATTTATCACACAAAAAGTTATTTCAAATATTTATCTGATATGTTATGAATGTCTGCAGTATTAGACATGTCTTTAAGAATAATTAATAATATGATTTTTAGTCTGTCAAATTTATTACTTTATAAATAATAAAATACAACTGAATTTCAAAATAGTAAATATTAGCTAGTATTCTTACCAGAATATTTATCTTGAAAATAATCTTTTACTTAGTATTTTTTCCCCTCCAAAGAAGTTCAATTTGTAGTTCTTTCAAATTTTGCTATACATCCCCTGTACTCATTGGCTGGAAACAGAGGGGGTGGGAAGGAGAGAGGAAGAGAGAGAAGGAAAGTGAGAAATCTCCCTGGGGGGATGGCCATGTCACAATGCCTTCTCCTCCATTCTCTTCTCAGGACTTTAGGCCTGTATGCACACATGCCTGGCAAGTTTTTTCAGGCCGCAGGTCCGGAACTTGATCTGCAAAGTCAGCCATGTGGGATCCAGATGCCTTAACCACCATGTGTCAGCTGGCCCAATTATGACAGTATTTAAAAAAACTATTTTAGTAAATAATAATTTGATAACTGTAACTTTCATTTCCTTTATTCATGTTTTTTTTTTTCCCCCTCAAGTTAGAAGGCAAGTGCACTCACTGGAGAGAGACAGAGAGAGAGAAAGGGAAAGTGAGAAAGCACTCCCTATGGGGGATGGTCACTCCATACTCCCTTTTCTTCCATTTCTCTTTGTGAGATTTTGGGGACATACACAAACATCTGGTCCAGGACTCAAATTATGTGGTTGACCATGTGGGATTCAGCTGCCTCAGCCAAAGGCTGCTCACACACTGTCAGCTGGCACCCTTTATTCATGTTTAAAGAACAGTTGGATAATGTTAATTAAGGACCAGAACTGTTGCAAGCATTTTCTTATAAAATAACTAAATTATATTATTTAATCTCTTCAAATTTAAAGACAAATGCTCATTGTACAACTAATTATTTACCTGACTCTTAAATAACTATAAGAATAAACTAAGCAAAACAAGTTATTACTTTCAAGGAAGGAAAATCAGAGTTTATAGTGATAACACAATATCAAGAAAATGAGGAATTGGTGTCATGGTAAAAGGTGCTGGACTCCCACATGGCCAACCATGGTTCGAGTTCTGGACCTGGTGCTTTGCTTTCGCACTTTCCTTCTCTCTCTCTCTCTCTTTCACTCTATTCCTCACTGATAAAATTTAAATAAATAAATAAATAAAGCTAATTTTTTTTTTCTTTGGAGAGGTTTTCGCTATAGGACACATGCGCTCGCCAGACAGACAGAGAGAGACATAGAGACAGAAAGTGAGAAATCACCCCCCAGGGGGGATGGTCACGCCACAATCCCTTCTCCATTCTCCTCTCGGGATCTTGGGCAC